AAAAAAAAAAAGAATGTAATCAATGGAACAGAGAGAATGAAGACAATGGGAACAATGAAGATTTTAGAGAAAAGGAAGCCTAAGAGGGAGACACCATTCTAATGTTCATTCACTGCCAAGCTTCATCCTTTAGCAATATTAGAACACTTATAAAATGTTAACTCAGTAAATCTAAGTTTAATGTGGCTATTAATAGTGATCAGAAAAAAAACACTTCTTGTCGTTTAACCTGCTTAATCTTAACCTGTAACTAAATGAAAAAACTTTAAGATCAAAATATAAAAATGGAAAATTAATTAGGCTACAGACAGGTTGCTAAATACAATCACAAATTCTTTTTTTTTTTTTGGGTCCGGTCATGGGGCCTGAACTCTGGGCCTGAGCGCTGTCCCTCAGCTCTTCAGCTCAAGGCTAGCGCTCTACCACTTGAGCCACACCGCCACTTCCGGCTTTTTTCTTTTTGCTCATGTGGTGCTGAGGAATCAAACCCAGGGCCTCAGGCATGCAAGGCAAGCGCTCTACCACTGAGCCAACTTCCCAGCCCTGCAATCACAAATTCTAAAAGCAGCTATAATACTTAGCCTGCTAACTTGGATTAATTAGGAAGGATAAAGAGGGCTAGATAGTGATTAAACCAAAAATTTACAAAAATAAAGTTTTCTGATTTTAGTTTTAGTGAGTTTTTTTGGGTCAACACTTCTCAGTCTCCTCTAGGAACTACTAACTTAAACATTTGCACTGAGTGGAATTCCCACCTCCTTCTGGGCCATCTCTCGTAACCGTCTGGGAAGACGTTTGACATTGTGGCTCATAGCTCTCCGCCGCATGTGCCGAGGTAGAGTCTGGAACACCAGTGAGTTAGAAGACTTCTGGGTCACAGCTTTTACCATGGCACTGATTTCAGCAGCCCGCGCTTGAGCAAAAGTGGAAGCTGTCAAGAGAAACATCAATGCCATTAAAAATGAGTGCTGAATCAAGCAGCTTTCTTGGATTTCATAGGGAAGACAAATCTGAAGTATGTGAGCTTATAGTTCAGCCACCAGCCTGACCCCCATTAAACACAGGTAATTTCTGTCCCCAAGTTTTCTGTAAAGATTTAAATATTGTGTTTTATTTTTCTGATGGAAAAAAAAACTTTTACAAAGGGTTCTTAAAAACAAGGAATATATATATAAAGATGTATATATACACACACATGTAGTGTGTATATATATATGTATAATGTATATTTGTGCATATCTATAATACATACATATATAATACAATTACAATCATTTTGAAGTACAGCAATCATAGGAAAGAGATTAATATTGGTTTTGATTCCATGGGATTTTTCATCATATTTTCTGATTTTTCTAAACACATAACCATTATGATTTTTAAAAAGAAGCAGTGCTGTAGTGCAAAGTGCTAGCCTTGAGCAAAAGAGCTCAGGGACAGTAACCAGGCCCCGAGTTAAAGCTCCATGACCAACACACACACACACACAAATTTCCAGAATGCTGGAAAAAACTTGTAGGTTCATCCAAGAAAGCATGAAGAGACTAGGAGGCACATCTACAGTGTGTGCAAAGGACATAGCTAACATGTCAATAGAGATAAGGGTGACAGAAGATGAAGCTTGCAAGGGCCTGGAAACAAAGGTCTCGGTTGCTGCAGAGCACATTCTCCAAGGGAGAATGCCTCTCCCTTCCTTAGGGAAGGGAGAGAATCTGAAGAAGGAGAGCCATCAGACCTAAGGCAGTTATACCCAAATACCCAAAGACCAGGCTAAAGGTGAGAAGGGCCCAAATGGATGGCAGAGAGGGAAAGTGAGGGAGGAAAAGCCAGATGGTAGGGAGAGCAATTTGTTGGCACAATTGGCTGTTCAAGAACCAAAGAGCTCATAAAACTGAATCAGACTGCACTTCCTGACAAATACCCACCGGTTATATACTTGGGAATTTCCTGAGAGGTGCCCTCCAGACTTGCTTTCCAGCCTCCCTTTTTCTTAAACATAACTTTAGAGGAAGACTGCTCATTCATATCAGGCTCAGGAAGCAAATGGGGGGTCATCTTAGTTTGTCGCTGTCTTGAACTTCCAGAATGAGACTCTATAACATTTTCAAAAAGAAAACAAAAATAAATACAGGACTCTTCCCAGAGATCAGGACTAGAGTGGAAAACCAATTAACTTTTTAATCCTACAACCACCCTATAAGGTAGCTATTCCTATTTCTTTTTAAAGAGGATACTGAGCAAGGAGGTTATTCTGTATACTTGTCCAAGGTCAAAGCTAGTAGGCAGCACAGGAGTTGATCATGTCCATATGGCAAATAAAGAACTCTGAACTGAAGAAATACAAGGAAATTTTCTCCATTATATATTTACAGTGCAAAAGGAATTTCCAACCGAATCTCTTTGTTATAGTTTGAATGTTTATGACTCCTCAAATTCAAATGTTGAAAACCTAACCATTAAGGTGATTATATTGGAACGTGGAGGCTTTAGGAAGTGGTCAGATCATGGGAGCCCTTATGAAGGGGCCAGTGTCATTATGAAAGAGGCTCTACCATCTAAGGACACAGCCATAAGCATCTACAAACCAGAAAACAGCCCTCTTCATATTGGATCTACTGCTTGATCTCAGACTTATCCTCAGAACTTTTAGACATAAATTTGTGATTTAGAAGCTGCTAATTTTGGTATTTCATTATAGAAACCTGAATGTGATACTCCCTTGAATACTACAATCCATGTAATTTTGTGTATTTGGTCTTATACTAATTATCTGGCACCCTCAAGTCAGAAAGCACTATTAAAGAAAGAATACAAAGCAAATCAATCCTTGTAATCATTGGAACTTTAAGCTAACATGATACTAGTCTGTGAAAGGGAAGAGGTCAGTGGAGAATTTTACAGCTTACAGTGTTCTTGCTTATTTCCACTGGGGTATGAATTATTAAGCCACTATAATCCTGAAATGTTATATGGTTTGTCACTGTTAATTGTTTTGTCGGTCTTGGGAATTTTAAATAAGGTAATATCTGTGAAAAACTTATCACACAACTGTACGTATGGTTAAAGTGAGCCACAGTGAGTGCCAGCAATAAGCAGAAAAATGAAGGCACTTAAGGCCCTGAGTTCAAGCCGCAGTACCAGTTCAAGCCCCAGTAGGGGAACCCTAGAGCCCCTTGGGAACTATGACTGGGTGCAGAAAGTGTGAGTGGATAGTGTATGGAGAATGCCTGATGCTAGAGGAAAACTGCTGGTTGTGTGATTGCATACCTTGTGTCTCCATAATGCTGCTGTCAAAAGACAAGGTGAGCGTCCGTGTGTATGCATCTTACTGCTTCCTGATACCCTGTTATCTGCTGAGGTCTGAGGATTGCAGTTCCAAGCCAGCGAGGGCATAAAATTCCCCTTAGACTCTTATCTCTAATTAACCACATAAAAGCTAAAGTGGAACTGTAGCTCAAAGTGGTAGAACACTAGGTTCAGCAAAAGAGCTCAGAGACAGCGCCCAGGCCTTAAGTTCAAGCTCCATGGTCAACCAAAAAAAAAGCAGAGGATGGAAAAGACTCCTTCAGTTTAATCAAGTCATCACATCAACGAAGCTCATTCCTCATCTCCGTGATGATAGTAAATATTATTTAGCATTGCATGGGCAATTCTTCATCCACCATCACAGCAGCTGCTAGACGGAACCAGCAACCTCCACAGAAGCTTGTCACCTATCATGACTGTCTTCAATTGCTGGATCTGTATCTAGATCTTTCATGAGTTTAAATCTAAAATCTATTTAATTGACCCATGGGTCACTGTTCTTTACACTCTGTGTTTGCTGTCTTCCCAAACTGGCTTTTCCTTCTGCTGTACCAATGAACACTATCACCTTCCTACCACTTTCTAAAGGTAAAACCCAGCACACAAGTAAGGTACAGATATAATGACTACTATAATTCTCTTGGAAAGTATAAAAGTATAATCTAATAAGTCTTAAGGTAGAAATAAAATACATCAGCTCTAAAGTATGAATAGCCATACTGAAGTACCTATGTTCTATAAAGCCTCAGTGAAGACTGAATTAGCAAATACTGAAGCTGTGCTTCTTGAGGAAATTATCTTTCCTGTCATCTACACACTTTTTTGCCTAGCTATCTACAGAGTCTATCAATCTCACATAATTGTAACTTTAAACCCTAAAAATAACCTATGATGGTAAATTCTGTTTCTAAAAGACCAGTCCAAGGCTGAGATGTTTAAACCCTAGCAGAGCTGACACATCTTGCACCACACCACACTGCCTTCTACGAACTCCACACCCCAGCCATCTCTGCATGAGAGCAGACACAAGAAGGCAATGGGAAACTTCTGCATAGAGCAATTTGAATATACTCCTGCACCCTGCATGTCCAGGAATGATTATCCAAGTTCCACGAGTGCTGACTTGAGGGCTACAAATAAACTTTAGTGAGTAAGCACTGAGTAACATTTGAGAAAACATCAGCTCACGTACTACTCATTTAGTAACTACTGAAGAGTTGGCAAAAAGCAATTTACTCTCAATGGAAGTGGCAAGAACACCATGTGCACCTTACCTTGTTGCTGAGCTTGGAAAGGTCTGCCCCCTCCATTATGGTGCTTTACATCTCTCTGTGCCACAAAGCCAGAGGACAGAGTGACGTTGGTGGGCTGGTTTCTCATTTTCTTAGCATGTTTTCTTTCCTTTGCAGTAGACATTTCTGGAAAGGGAATATTTTATACTGTTAGAACTCTCATTCAAAAGTACTAAGTGCAATAAAAATTCATATATAACTCAAAATTTAATTCTTCTGTATAATAAATGTTCATTTACTGTAGGTAGCTTGATGACACCAAAATGTTACTATGAAATTAGTCTACAGTACAAATTCCTAAAAAGGGGAAATTTCAAGGAAGTCATGAATGGTATTAATACCAAAAACGCATGTCAATAGCAATAGTGGAAGAAGCTCTATTGGCATAGCCTAGTTTGCACTGCCGATTAACTACATCATATACAAATGTAGACATTAGATAAGTCAGTTGGAAGAAAGAAAATTATGCATGATTTTTAAAAATACTTAAAATGGAGGGACAAAGGGTACTGATAGCTCATGCCTATAATCCTAGCTACTCAGAAGGCTGAGATCTGAGGATCGTGGTTTGAAGACAGCCTGGGGAGGAAAGTCCATGAGACTTTTACCTTCAATAAATTACTCACAAAAGACCAAAGTGGACCTGTGGCTCAAGTGATAGAATGCTAACCTTAAGAAAAAGAATCTCAGGGCTAGCACCCAGGCCCTCAAAGCCCCAAGACCAACACACACACACACACACACACACACACACACATACACACACACACACACAAAGAGGTACAAAGATAAACACATACAGCAGTATTAATCATTAGACACTATATTGAAAATGAACTATACTACTTGAGGGTGGGGAGAGGAGGGAAAAACTGGGAAAGAGGGAGGAAAGGGATGACACTGTCCAAAAAGAAATGCACTATTTACCTGACTTATGTAACTGTAACCCCTCTGTACATCATCTTCATAATAACAATTTAAATTTTTTTCAAATACTTAAAAGACTTTATCTAGATTCTTAGGTAAGGGACCACCTTAATCAATGCTAACAATGAAAGTTATAGATGTGTTCATTTTACTAGTAAAAAGAAACTATCTTTGGTTTGTGATAGTAAGAGGCAATGACTTTGATGTAAAGTATAAAGGATACAGAGTAACAGGCTAGTGAAGCCTGATTTACTCCACAGTTCCCCACCTGAAACTAACTCAACACCCCCCCCCCTTTACTAGCTGCTTCCCTTTTAAACACCTGTTTTCTATTTTGAAATGAACTGCATTAACAATGTTACCTCCAAGAGACATTAACTTTTTTTTTTTTTTGGTTCCTCCTGGAGCTTGAACTCAGGACTATCCTTGAGCCTCTCTATCTCAAGGCTAGCACTCTACCGCTTGAGCCACAGCACCACTTCCAGCTTTTTCTGTTTATGTGGTACTGAGGAATTGAACCCAGGGTTTCATGCATGCTAGGGCCAAATTCCAAGCCCAAGACATTAACTTTTATCAACTCATCCCCTACAATACATTGTATTGCTCTAAGTGTAACAAATAACTAAAACGTAATTTTTATGAAACAATATGTATATCTGCCTGTAACTTTTTAACCACAACTATTCTACATGGCATTATGAAATAGATTTGAAACCAGAATGTCTAGTCACATCAACTTAGGGACAAATACAAGCACTGGCACTATCCATCTGAAAGGCGCTGCATGGGAACACCAGGAGGCAGGGAAATATCTTGGTATTTTTAGTAGTAAATAAATATCAAGCTTACATGCTAGTATTTAAGCTTTAGCCTTTACTTCTACCTATGCATAGAATTACCATCTAGTAATACAAAATGCTCTACACAAAATGCTCAGTTTACAGTAGCTATTATTCTTTTTTATTTTTATTGTTTTGATTTTTGGGTTTTTTTTTTTTGGTCGGTCGTGGGGCTTGAACTCTAGGTCTGGGCGCTGTCCCTCAGCTCTTCAAGCTCAAGGCTAGCGCTCTACCACTTGAGGCACAGTGCTACTCCTGACAATAGCTATTATTCTTAAATAAGTGCAATAATAGGTTGGTCATTTCACTCTCACTCCACTTTATTTCCCCCTAAATAAACACACCTCTATCTAGACCCAAAAACATTTTTCAAATTGAGTATAAGTGTAATTCTATGGAATTGACTAACTACTGAGGCATGTTATTCAGATTAGTCTACACTGAGATCCATTTATAACAGTTTTCAAAACAGCCTCATCATTGACCTACTTGTTACCCCCCCAAAACAACAGAGAACTACCCTACCATCTCCAACTCCAATCAGGATTCAAATGAGCCAGAAACAAGATGCTAAGGGGGTTGGGAAGGTGGCTCAATGGTAAAGTGCTGGCCTTGCATGCATGAGGCCCTGGGTTCAATTCCTCAGCACAACATAAACAGAAAAAGCCCAAAGTGGCGCTGTGACTCAAGTGGTGGAGCGCTAGCCTTGAGCTGAAGAGCTGAGGGGCAGTGCCCAGGCCCACAGTTCAAGTCCCAGGACCAACCAAAAAAAAAAAAAAAGATGCTGGGGGATTGTGGTAGTAACCTTAGGATGTCATGTCTCTGAACATTGGTTCTAAACTAAAACCTAAGCAAAATAAACTAGCATTAGCTAGACCTCAAACTGTTCCAACCGGGGAAGAGAATGAATACAGAAGACATCCTTATAAAGACTGAGGGTATCTTATAACTTCTAAGCCAGTTTCATACCTATTCCTAATCACGACAATTTGTGTTTATTTCCATATTCACTCAGTTCTTTTGTGTCTTTGTGTTCAACATGTTAATGCATACTAAACATATGCTGGACTTCCAAATCTTTAATAAAAAGATGTCATGGTTTCTCATATAGTGTAGTATCTTCTGGCTAATCAGATTCACTACTTGCTAGACAACTGAGGAACCAGCCAACTGGTCTCCATTTTCTTCCACTTCTGAAAAACGCTGCTTGACATAAAATCTGCCTTCCGAGGTATCTTCTTTAATAGGAAATATGTTACACAAGTTGAATTTATTTGTAACATGAGAGCTTTCTACTTACAAAACTACATATAAATTATTTATAAAGAAAAAGCATCTTCTAGTTATCCAGTTTAACCAAATTCCACAAGCTTTTGAGTACCTATGATGTGTCTAACAGTTTCAGACACTGTGTAAACACCTCTGTAGTGTAAGGATATTGCTGGGTGCTGATGGCTCAGGAGAATGGAGGTTCAAAAAGGCAGGAAAGTCCATGTGACTCTTCTCTCCAATTAACCACCAGAAAACAGGAATGTACACCGTGGCTCAAAGTAGTAGAGCACTAGCCTTGAGCAAAAAGAGCTTAGGGACAGCGCTCAGGCCCTGAGTTCAAGCCCCACAACCACAACACCAACAAAGAAGATGTGGTCTGCTTTTCTCTAGGAATTTAGGTGTCTTAAACAGCTAACATTAACTGAGAATTTTGTGTCAGGCAACTGTTCTAGGTTCCTTATTTAATTCTCAGAATTCTATGATGGAAGTACTTGCTAGGCTGGTGCTGTCTCTGAAACAGAACAGGGATTCTTCTGCAATTCACACCAAGCAGTCTTGGTTCTACTCACTACTCTTAAAACATAAAATGCTTGGTGAATGACAGCTCCTATGACAAAATACTAAATTCTGCAGTACAGCCAAATAGAAATCTTAATGAAAATCTTCCTGTTACCATCGAGAAGAATACAAGATATCAGTTTGCTAAAATCTGATGGACAGCGAAGAAAGCATATTTGGTAATCTACCTTGCGAACAGAAGACTAGACCAATAGAGGATTTAGAACAGTATAAAACCAAATAGGCTGGGAAAGACTAGGCAGATAGGTCTTTTTTCCAGGTTGGATTCCTAAACAGTGAGAATGATCTAAAGGTTCTTGAACTACAAGTAGAAAAGCAAAAACCGACCAAATGAGAGGTAAGAGAGATTCAAGGAGATTTAGTGTGTGTGTTTGTGAACATGGGCTTGATTGACCTCAGGGCCTGGGCACTGTCCCTGAGCTTTTGTACTCAAGCCTACATTTTGTACTCAAGCTCCATTTCTGGCTTTTTGGCCATTTACTAGAGGTAAGAGTTCCACTAATTTTCCTGCCTGATATGTCTTTGAACCGCGATCCTCAGATCTTCAGCCTCCAGAGCAGCTAGGATTAAAGAAGCCAGCCACCATTCTTGGCTCAAAGAAATGTCTTATGGTCCATTTGAAAGCAGTAAGGTCTGAGATATTTTCTACCTTTTTCTCCGTCGTCACAGCCCCAGCACTTAGCAGACTGCCATACACAAATTTCAGGCTCACGATGTAGATGCTGACTGCAGGCTGGCACGCGTAGATGCCAACACTGCATATAATCACAGGGTGGACTTACCCAGCCCAGAGTAACCCCGCTAACGCAGCACGTGTCCCACCCAGCCTGGACCAGGTCGGGGGCTATTCTAGCCCAAAAGAACTTTCTTTCCTTTTGAACTCAGATCCCCGTCGTGGGGCTCGGCTCCAATCGAGGAGACGTGTAACGCACGCGGGAGAAAGGACAACGCCCAGGTGCCCGCGTGGTCTCCTTAAAAGGGCCCGGCTTGCTCCTTAGAGCTGCACATGAACCTCAGGACGGGCTGCTTCCGACAGGACAAGGCGGAGAAGGGGCTGACTCGGGGCCGCAGGGCACCTGGCACAGAACGCTCTGGACCTGGAAGACAGGCCGTGGCGCAGCGAGCAGAAGAGGTCGGAGGTCCGAGGACCGAAGATATGCAGGGGAAGCCGGCCAGGACACGGGCACCTAGCAGGGAACCGCATGCACACACGCTCCCCTCCCATCCCAAGACTACTGGATGCCAGGGAGAATGAGGGCCTCGCGACCTACCTGTCCTGAGGGTTCCTAGGGTCAGAATGACAAGCCTGTGCCACAAGTCCCCCCCGCCGCCCCTGGCGGTCAGTGCAGCGAGCGAGACGCAGGGCGCATGCGCCAGCCCGGCCTCTTCCTGCACGTGGCCGGGAGTCGCGAGAGGACTACGACTACCAGCATGCCTTGCGAGCCTTTCCTCTCCCTCCCTCTCCGCTCCTCCCACACCCCGCCCCCCGGAGTGGCGCCTGTGACGCGGCGCGGGCTCGGGCAGTCGGTGAGCATAGCGGGTCGCTCTAGCTCAGGCTTCTCCCGGACTGGCCGCAAGTGAAGGTTTAGCCATGTCGTCTCTAATCCGAAAGGTGATCACCGCCGCGAAAAACCCTAGGCCCATTGGTCCCTACAGGTAACGTGGCTTGTGCGAGCATTGCCAGGACCCCGGGCGTGCGGGGTCGCGGGGGTCCGGGCTGGGGGTCGCTCAGGTCAGAGCCCGAGCAAGCGCCTCGGCGCGTGAGGAAACTGAGTCTGGAGAGATACTCAAGAGCTGGCTTAGCATTTTGTTATATAGGATTTTTATTTTTTGTTTATATGTATGAGGTGCTGAGGAATCGAACCCAATGCCTTATGCATGCTAGACACACACTCTACCACTAAGCCACCTTCCCAGCCCTGATCTTAGTACTTAAAAACTTTGGTTCAGCCAGGTGCCAGTGCTCACGCCTGTAATCCTAGCTACTCTGGAGATGTGAAGATTGTGAGGATTGAAATTCAAAGCCAACCCAGGACAGCAAAATCCCAGAGACTCTTATCTCCAATAAACTACCCCCCAAAAAAGTCATAAGTGGCACTGTGGCTCAAGGGGTAGAGCTAGCCTTGAGCACAAAGGGGCTCAAGGACAGCACTCAGGCCCTGAGTCTAAGCCCCAGGACTGGTCAAAAGAAAAACAAAAAACAAAAAAAAAGCCCTTGGTTTATTTCTCCTCCCACAGTAACTTCACCTCTTTTAGTTTGCTTCTTTATCTTCTAAATGGACATAACCATAACACTGTCTCATAAGATTATTGTGAGGATTAAATAGGAAAGTAACCCATTAAAATTAGACTTTAGCAGGGCCTACATTGTGACTTTTTTTTTTTTTGGTCAGTTGTGGGGCTTGAACTCTGGGCTTGGGCGCTGTCCTTCAGCTCTTCAGCTCAAGGAGAGTGCTCTACCACTTGAGCCACAGCACCACTTCAGTTTTCAAGTGGTTTATTGGAGATAGAGTCTCACGGACTTTCCTGCCCGAGCTGGCTTTGAACCTTGAGCCTCAGATCTCAGCCTCCTGAGTAACTAGGATTACAGGCGTGAGCCACTGGCGCCCGGCCATTGTGACTTTTTTTAAATATCCAATGTATGAAGTTTGTTTTTGTTTTTGCTTTTTTTTTTTTTTTTGGTCAGTCATGGGCTTGAACTCTAGACCTGGGCACTGCCCCTCAGCTCTTCAGCTCAAGGCTACTGCTCTACCATTTGAACCACAGTGCCACTTCCTGTCTTCTGGTGGTTTATTGGAGATAGGAGTCTCACACTTTCCAGCCCAGGCTGGCTTTGAACCATGATCCTCAGATCTCTGACTCCTTAGTAGCTAGGATTACAGGTATGAGCCACCAGCTCCCAGCCTGAAGTTTATATTTTATGTAATGAGGAACCATAGAATGTTTTTGAACCTGAAATTAACAGGAGATCTTTTTTTAAAGAAGAGTAATTCTGGTAATAATTTAGATAGAAACCATTTTTCTCCTTCTGCCTTAATCCCTCACCCATATAATCATGAGTGGTAGCAATTAGAGCATTTTGTTACTTCAGAACAAAACTTGACAAGAAATCAAGTGATAAAAGACACTTTGTTCTGAAGCCTACTGAAAGAGCTTACACCTCCCCTAACCTACTTAGAAATGTTGTGCTCTTTATTCAAGAAAAAAAACTTGACATATCCCTGATTGACTTTTAAGAACCATTTGGAGGGGGAGGGGGGATATTAGATTAGAAGGTTATGGGAAGGAGAAACAAAGGAGGAGGCAACTATGCTTGATAAGAAATGTACTCATTACCTTGCCCATGTAATTGTAACCCCTCTGTACAGTATTTTCACAATAAAAAAAGAACCATTTGGAAATAAGTTTGTGTCATGGAGTTTGCAGTGAGTATGCTTTTTGAACACTTCTGGATCCTCTCCAGGAAGGATTCAGTGTGTTCAGCTTTTCAGTGGCTGGCATTGAGATGGATGGGGTGTTGTCTCAGCACATTTCAGGAGACTTTTGGACAAAGCCTTGAGGGATTTCAACATCACAAGCCATTTTACTAGTATACAGTCCAAACACAAAATACAACATAGATGATTAGAATGTTTTGGAAGGTTTTAACTACTTTGCAGCCTACAAGGAATACAGTACACTTGTAATTGTTGAGAACTTCACAACTTGTCTTTGGATAGCAGGGTTCTTAGTCTCGGAAATCACACTTCCAAGCTGAGTGCCAGTAGCTCATGCCTGTAATCCTAGTTACCTATGAAGCAGAGATTTGAAGATCAAGGTTCAAAGCCAGGCAAGGCAGGAAAGTCCATGAGACCCTTATCTCCAATTAACTACCAAAAGGCTAGAAGTCGAACATGGCTCAAATAGCAGAGCTCTAGCCTTGAGCAGAAAAGCTTAGGGACAGCACCCAGACCTAAGTTCAAGCCTAAGGACCAGCACAAATGAAGGAAAGGGAAGGAAAGGAGAAGAGAGGAGAGGAGAGGAGGGGAGGGGAGGGGAGGGGGAGAGAGAAGATGGGGAAGGGAGAAGGAAAGGCACACACAGTTATTTTTGTGAACAAAACTCTTAAGAGATAACTTTCATGGTTCAAATAATTTTAGGGCTGCAATTTTTTTATATTTTAAGAATAATTGGTTTGCCATCATGAAGTTTTGATAAAGGGTAATATTGGATAGGCTTAAACTGCTTTTCAAATGTGGAAAGAGTTGAAGGTACTTTGTTTGCAAAGGGCCTACGCAGATGGCATATTTTTCACAGAACAGTTAACATCAGTAGCTAATAGTATTGTCTAACCTGTGAAAAGATTACTAATTAACAAACTTGGTAGCTGCCTGAGGACAAAGGTGAAAAGCCCGTAGTTGGGAAGAATTCCTAGCCCCTTAATTTTCTTTTTAAATGTAGATCCTAGGGCTTGAACTCAATTTGTAGGCACCATCTCTTAGCTTTTTGCTCAAGGCTGGCACTCTACCACTTGAACCAGGTTTACTTCCTTGTATTTGCTCATAATTTGAGATGAGTCTCCAGGACTCTTATCTGCCTGGAGTGGCTTCTAATCTCTATCATCAGATCTTAGTTTTGTGAGTAGCTAGAATTATAGTTTGAGCTGCCAGTGCCTGGCTCTAGCCTTTAAAATTTTAAGTTTCATTGTGGTGTCCTCATATATGAAAATAAAATCTTTGGCCATACTTGCCCCCTCTATTACTCTTTCTTACCCCTCCACTTTCTTCCTTTTTAAATAGTCTTTAAAGGGTTTAGTTATTGTATTTATATACCTGCACATAAAGAACTTTGACTATAATCACAAAACACTACCAACACTCACCCTCCCAACAATATCTTCCCACAAACAGCCCCCTTTTACATTCATGTTACTGTTTTAAGTATTCCTAGACTTTGAGTTTCTGTTACTATTTCATCTCCCCAAATCACATGTTATGACCCCAACAGGTCCCACTTAAAAGATAGGTTATTTTCAAGCAAAATTGTTGAAGATTTTCGGTGGTTAGAGAATAGCATAAAGACAAAGTTATAACATGCCAATTATGTGCAAGGAATCACCTGGGCTCTGATGCAGAAACTTGGTAAGATACTATCTCTACTCTTAAAGAGCTTTGAGTCTTAAGATACTGGGAGAGGATAAGAATAAACTAGCTGTAACCCAAGGCAGGATCTTTTACAGCACTTTAAAAAGCCAGGAGTGTAGTTATCCTAACTATAGAAGATCTCTGAGCCCCCCAGGCAAAAGTGAAACTTATCTGAAAAATATAGCAAAAAAGGGCTGGGGTGGGTTAGGGCCACAGCTTAAGTGGTAGAGCACCTACCTAGCAAGCAAGCACAAAGCCCTGAATTGAACCCCAGTATAACTCTTGCCCTCTCCCCCCCCCCCCCCCCCAAAAGCCATTTTTAACAACTTCCATTGGAATGGCTTGTCTGAAAATTGTTTTTTTTTTTTTTCTGGTGCCTGTCCTGGGGCTTGAACTTAGGCCCTGAGTACTGTCCCTAAGTGTTTTGTGCTCAATGATAATGTTATACCACTTGAGCCATAGCTCCACTTTCAGCTTTTTTGATGCTTAACTGAATAGCCTTATAGACCTTTCTGCCCAGGTGGGCTTTGAACTATGATCCTCAGATTTCAGCCTCCTGAGTAGCTAAGATTACAAACAGGAGTCATCAGCCTGATGAATTACTTATTTTTTCTAAGTACCCTGGCTTTTTTTTTTGTATCCCAACTTATTAAACTTATTGCTTATTAAAATAATCACTGTTTTCAGTGAAGAGTTCCGTAACTTTTGGTAAATGTATAAGGAATATACATACAATCTCTCATAGCTGTTTGTGTTCATTCCACACTCTGGCCCCATACAGCCAGTGTACTTTTTAGTACTACTATTTTATATTTTCTCAAATTTCATATGAGTGAAAGCAACAGTACATAATCTCTAGGGGTTTTTTTGTTTTGTTTTTTTTTTTGGTGTTTTTTTTTACCAGTCGTGGGGCCTGAACTCTGGGCCTAGGCACTGTCCCTCAGCTCTTCAGCTCAAGGTAGAACTCTACCACTTGAGCCACAGTGCCACTTCTGGCTTTTTCTGCTTATGTGGTGCTGAGGAATCAAACCCAGGGCCTCATGCATTCGAGGCAAGCACTCTACCACTGAGCCACCTTCCCAGACCTCTCTAGTTACTGTTTATCAATAATCTGGTTTTGATTTCCTTTTTTTGTTATCATAGACAATGATGTTCTAAAATTTCAAGTAAGGTCCTTTTTAAAAAATAA